TTTTAACAATAATTTTAGATTTTCTATAAAATGATATTCCAGGGCCCAACAGGTTATATAGCATAAATATGTGAAGTACAACTGCAGTATGGAAACAGTACAACAAAATGGCCGATTTACACTTTTTTCTAGTAAATTCCCCTCTAATATATATTCTATTCTCTATGGATATTACAAGCAAGCAATCAACAAAAGAAAACAAGAAAATGTTTATTTCAATAAAGTACAGGGGCCGTGTAATCCGCGCATATCGCTAAAAAATTAATAAAATGAAGACAATGTTAGATTTTAATTATAATTTATATCATGCTTTTACACAGCATGAATACACATAAACATAAAAACAAAGAGAAGCTGTCGATTAAAAAAAGCTTAACAATCGAAACGTATATTAAAAGTCGTCTTCATTGTATTGATATAATCGCCTACCACTATATATATCTGAACTGTTCGTTGGGAGTAAACAATAATCATAGTTTTAATTTTTTTCTTCAAATGCCAATTCTCACTTTCCAATTCTGAACAGTTTCAGCCCTGAAATAATTTATTCTATTATCTGCCAGATGCCGCTAAAGTTACAAGTTTAAATAAGTTAAATCGTTTTTCTTTCAGGCGGAAGAATAATCAGTAATTCGTAAAATACAAAGTTTTTAATGAAAATGTTTACAATCTACAAAATAGAAAACATTTTTTTTAAAAGAAGGTTTGGAGTACTTGAATTTAATTACATTAATACTAATCATTTAATTCCTCTTCTTCTTTAATCTTTATACTCTCAGTATGAACTCCTACTTTTACAACATCCGGTTTTATTTCCCGGATTTCATCCAAATCCAGGAGAACATTCCCGCTGGACCTTCTGCGCGTGCTTAGTGCGCCGGCCGAACACTCACTGGGTCGCCGGCTTCGAGGCGAGGCGTACTTTCATAAGTTGTTGAATTTATCAAGATATTGTTGACGATCAATGCGTCGGCAAATGGAAAATCCTCCAATGACACCAGCCACCTAAACATTTAAAAAACATCGATTTTTTAAAAATTTAAACATAAGATGTCTTACCTGAACTGATATAAAAAGTAGAAAAGGTAGGAGAATAGAGTGCAGAAAACTGTACACATACTCTACCACTTGCAGCACACAACCCTATACAGTACAATGTTATTGTAATATTTTATGTATCTCGTTTAATTTAAATAAAAAGAAAATTCTATAAATTTGTTGTGAATTTCTAAACTATAACAGTCGTCTTCGTATTACATAGTTTTATTGGCCTAACTGCATAAAGCATGTAAATTTAAAATTCTACTGAAAATTAATATCTTTCTTCTAAAATCCATAAATATATTTATTTCTAAATCTTTATTCTATAATCCATATATATATATATATATTGTTTGTTTGTATCCAATTAACGTCAAAACGGCTGAACCGATTGGGCCAAAATGTTTTGTGACAGCTTACATAACACCAGTGCAGGATTCCGGTCAACAATGAAAAGTTTTTACCGCAAAATTACATAATTTATTTTTGAAATTAGGTTTTATAAAAAAACAATGAAAAATGGGACCTTTCATGAGCAACAGTTTAAAGGTAAAATTGTTAATGAAAAAGGTGACCCGAAGCACTGTAAACGCCTAGTAATATAAAATAATATTTTTCTGAATTATGGAATTCCTCGAAAGAAAAAGATGAAGAGAGAAAAGTTGATAAAACTCCCACTTTGCTACTTTAGACGCTAATGGTTGGACTTTAGTTCATATCCAGCTACACCCCCCCCC